GACTGACATTACCATGCCAGGTGTGAGAGTACAAGACTGACATTACCATGCCAGGTGTGAGAGTACAAGACTGACATTACCATGCCTGGTGTGAGAGTACAAGACTGACATTACCATGCCAGGTGTGAGAGTACAAGACTGACATTACCATGCCAGGTGTGAGAGTACAAGACTGACATTACCATGCCAGGTGTGAGAGTACAAGACTGACATTACCATGACAGGTGTGAGAGTACAAGACTGACATTACCATGCCAGGTGTGAGAGTACAAGACTGACATTACCATGCCAGGTGTGAGAGTACAAGACTGACATTACCATGCCAGGTGTGAGAGTACAAGACTGACATTACCATGCCAGGTGTGAGAGTACAAGACTGACATTACCATGCCAGGTGTGAGAGTACAAGACTGACATTACCATGCCAGGTGTGAGAGTACAAGACTGACATTACCATGACAGGTGTGAGAGTACAAGACTGACATTACCATGCCATGTGTGAGAGTACAAGACTGACATTACCATGCCAGGTGTGAGAGTACAAGACTGACATTACCATGCCAGGTGTGAGAGTACAAGACTGACATTACCATGACAGGTGTGAGAGTACAAGTCTGACATTACCATGCCAGGTGTGAGAGTACAAGACTGACATTACCATGACAGGTGTGAGAGTACAAGACTGACATTACCATGCCAGGTGTGAGAGTACAAGACTGACATTACCATGCCAGGTGTGAGAGTACAAGACTGACATTACCATGCCAGGTGTGAGAGTACAAGACTGACATTACCATGCCAGGTGTGAGAGTACAAGACTGACATTACCATGCCAGGTGTGAGAGTACAAGACTGACATTACCATGCCAGGTGTGAGAGTACAAGACTGACATTACCATGACAGGTGTGAGAGTACAAGACTGACATTACCATGCCAGGTGTGAGAGTACAAGACTGACATTACCATGCCAGGTGTGAGAGTACAAGACTGACATTACCATGCCAGGTGTGAGAGTACAAGACTGACATTACCATGACAGGTGTGAGAGTACAAGTCTGACATTACCATGCCAGGTGTGAGAGTACAAGACTGACATTACCATGCCAGGTGTGAGAGTACAAGACTGACATTACCATGCCAGGTGTGAGAGTACAAGACTGACATTACCATGACAGGTGTGAGAGTACAAGACTGACATTACCATGCCAGGTGTGAGAGTACAAGACTGACATTACCATGCCAGGTGTGAGAGTATTGTTTGCTTTAGATATATACAGAAATTATAACATATAAAGGATGGGGTCCACCTCTGGTGTAAATTGTGGGACCCATAGCCTCGGAGAAGTGGATAAAAAGGCTTCAAGGAAAAATATTTGGATTTCTTCCTGAAGCCTTTTGAATATTCCACTTCCCCTAATATATTTCTGGTGATGTAACAGTGGATGACTGCGTCGACAAGACTTATTATGATATTTGTAATTATTTTGTATTGCATTATCGCTTACAATATGAGTTACAAATGTAGCTGAGACTGTGAAATTATGTGTTTATACAGGTACACCTACACATAATTATCATATATAGGTACACCTACACATAATTATCATATATAGGTACACCTACACATAATTATCATATATAGGTACACCTACACATAATTATCATATATAGGTACACCTACACATAATTATCATATATAGGTACACCTACACATAATTATCATATATAGGTACACCTACACATAATTATCATATATAGGTACACCTACACATAATTATCATATATAGGTACACCTACACGTAATTATCATATATAGGTACACCTACACATAATTATCATATATAGGTACACCTACACATAATTATCATATATAGGTACACCTACACGTAATTATCATATATAGGTACACCTACACATAATTATTATACAGGTACACATAATTAAGAGATTATCATACATAATGTAAATTAGCCTCCAAGATAACCCAAGAAAAGTCTGACCAAGTGATGGACTCCAGAGGTGTACTCTGACCACAGTGGACTCCACAGGTGTGCTCTGACCACAGTGGACTCCACAGGTGTACTCTGACCACAATGGACTCCACAGGTGTACTCTGACCACAATGGAAATAAGTCACTTGGTCTGACTTTTTTTTTTATTATCCTGGTGGTAATTTACACGTGTTACTATATAAGATAATTATACTTATGTGTACCTGTACCTAAAAAGCTTACTTAGGGTGGCCCGTGGCCTGGTAGGCAACGCTCTTGCTTCACACACTGAATGTCTATGGTTTGATCCCCGGCAAGGGGACAATTTTTTGCAAGTTAGGTTAATTTTGACCCCAGGATGCGACCCATATCAAGTCCACTAACACTCAGGTACTTATTTTACTGCTAGGTGAACAGGGACAGCAGGTGTCTTAAGGAAATACGTCCTAATGTTACCACCCGTGCCGGGGATTGAACCATGGACCTCAGTGTGTGAGGTGTGTGCGCTGGCAATCGAGCAGTAAATAGGTACCTGGTGTTAGTGGACTGGAGTGGCATCCTGGAGGACAAAGTTTAAGGACCATATGGAAATAAGACAGACAGTCCTGGATGACAGACTGACTTTCCTGGGTTACCCTGGGTGGTTAACACTCCCTACCCTGGGTTACCCTGGGTGGCTAACACTCCCTACCCTGGGTTACCCTGGGTGGCTAACACTCCCTACCCTGGGTTACCTTGGGTGGCTAACACTCCCTACCCTGGGTTATCCTGGCTGGCTAACACTCCCTATCCTGGGTTATTCTGGGTGGCTAACACTCCCTACCCTGGGTTATCCTGGCTGGCTAACACTCCCTACCCTGGGTTATTCTGGGTGGCTAACACTCCCTACCCTGGGTTATTCTGGGTGGCTAACACTCCCTACCCTGGGTTATCCTGGCTGGCTAACACTCCCTACCCTGGGTTATTCTGGCTGGCTAACACTCCCTACCCTGGGTTATTCTGGGTGGCTAACACTCCCTACCCTGGGTTATTCTGGCTGGCTAACACTCCCTACCCTGGGTTATTCTGGCTGGCTAACACTCCCTACCCTGGGTTATCCTGGCTGGCTAACACTCAGAGGTTAAAAATATCAACAAAGATGTTTCTATTTGTCTCTGTAGAGAAAACATTAATTTTCCTATCATTCTGGAACAGATATAGTTAATATGTGTTTTCTGGACTCCGGGAGGGAGTCCAAGAAACACTCCAGGGGGGAGTCCAGGAAACACTCCAGGAGGGAGTCCAGGAAACACTCCAGGAGGGAGTCCAGGAAACACTCCAGGAGGAAGTCCAGGAAATACTCCAGGAGGGAGTCCAGGAAACACTCCAGGAGGGCCAGGAAACACTCCAGGAGGGAGTCCAGGAAACACTCCAGGAGGGAGTTCAGGAAACACTCAAGGAGGGAGTCCAGGAAACACTCCAGGAGGGAGTCCAGGAAATACTCCAGGAGGGAGTCCAGGAAACACTCCGGGAGGGCCAGGAAACACTCCAGGAGGGAGTCCAGGAAGCACTCCAGGAGGGCCAGGAAACACTCCAGGAGGGAGTCCAGGAAACACTCCAGGAGGGAGTCCAGGAAACACTCCAGGAGGGAGTCCAGGAAATACTCCAGGAGGGAGTCCAGGAAACACTCCAGGAGGGAGTCCAGGAAATACTCCAGGAGGGAGTCTAGGAAGCACTCCAGGAGGGCCAGGAAACACTCCAGGAGGGAGTCCAGGAAACACTCCAGGAGGGAGTCCAGGAAACACTCCAGGAGGGAGTCCAGGAAATACTCCAGGAGGGAGTCCAGGAAACACTCCAGGAGGGCCAGGAAACGCTCCAGGAGGGAGTCCAGGAAACACCCCAGGAGGGCCAGGAAACACCCCAGGAGGGAGTCCAGGAAACACTCCAGGAGGGCCAGGAAACACTCCAGGAGGAAGTCCAGAAAACACTCCAGGAAGGAGTCCAGGAAACACTCCAGGAGGGCCAGGAAACACTCCAGGAGGGAGTCCAGGAAATACTCCAGGAGGGAGTCCAGGAAATACTCCAGGAGGGCCAGGAAACACTCCAGGAGGGAGTCCAGGAAACACTCCAGGAGGGCCAGGAAACACTCCAGGAGGGAGTCCAGGAAACACTCCAGGAGGGCCAGGAAACACTCCAGGAGGGAGTTCAGGAAACACTCCAGGAGGGAGTCCAGGAAACACTCCAGGAGGGAGTCCAGGAAACACTCCAGGAGGGCCAGGAAACGCTCCAGGAGGGAGTCCAGGAAACACTCCAGGAGGGAGTCCAGGAAACACTCCAGGAGGGAGTCCAGGAAACACTCCAGGAGGGAGTCCAGGAAATACTCCAGGAGGGAGTCCAGGAAACACTCCAGGAGGGCCAGGAAACGCTCCAGGAGGGAGTCCAGGAAACACCCCAGGAGGGCCAGGAAACACCCCAGGAGGGAGTCCAGGAAACACTCCAGGAGGGCCAGGAAACACTCCAGGAGGAAGTCCAGAAAACACTCCAGGAAGGAGTCCAGGAAACACTCCAGGAGGGCCAGGAAACACTCCAGGAGGGAGTCCAGGAAATACTCCAGGAGGGAGTCCAGGAAACACTCCAGGAGGGCCAGGAAACACTCCAGGAGGGAGTCCAGGAAACACTCCAGGAGGGCCAGGAAACACTCCAGGAGGGAGTCCAGGAAACACTCCAGGAGGGCCAGGAAACACTCCAGGAGGGAGTTCAGGAAACACTCCAGGAGGGAGTCCAGGAAACACTCCAGGAGGGCCAGGAAACACTCCAGGAGGGCCAGGAAACGCTCCAGGAGGGAGTCCAGGAAACACTCCAGGAGGGAGTCCAGGAAACACTCCAGGAGGGAGTCCAGGAAACACTCCAGAAGGGAGTCCAGGAAACACATACTGAAGGTTCAGTGAAGCGTCAACTGTGGTGGCCCTTAATAACATCAATAACAACAACAACACGACAAGAGAAGCGTCAGTGACCCTTAACAACAACAACAACAACACGACTAAGACGGTGTCATGTAAACACCAAGAAGAAGAAGAAGAAGAATAAGAAGAAGAGCAAGAAGACTGGCGTGGTGTCCCTCCCAGCACTTCCCACTGTGGTGCCACTGTTACCACTACAGGGACTCTCCTCTGTGCTGACTTGTGCACACTCCTGGTGCACTGTGACCCTCTCTCTCTCCTTGTGCACACTCCTGGTGCACTCTGTGACCCTCTCTCTCTCCTTGTGCACACTCCTGGTGCACTGTGACCCTCTCTCTCTCCTTGTGCACACTCCTGGTGCACTCTGTGACCCTCTCCTTGTGCACACTCCTGGTGCACTGTGACCCTCTTTCTCTCCTTGTGCACACTCGTGGTGCACTCTGTGACCCTCTCTCTCCTTGTGCACACTCCTGGTGTACTCTGTGACCCTCTCTCTCTTTGTGCACACTCCTGGTGCACTGTGACCCTCTCTCTCCTTGTGCACACTCCTGGTGCACACACTCCTGGTTCACACTCCTGGTGCACACTGCTGGTGCACACTCCTGGTGCACACTGCTGGTGCACACTCCTGGTGCACACTGCTGGTGCACAGCTTCCTGGCTTCAGGGTGCATCAATAACATATAACACTCACAATTATTCGTCAACTTCCACTTTGCTCGATTTTGTTTTTCCGTCCACTGGAAGTTAGTGGTCGATACAACCTAACCTGTTAGTGGCCCCATCAAGAAGAAGACCAAGAAGAGTAAGAAGAAGTAGCCCTATAAACCCCAAGAAGAGGAAGAAGTAGCCCTATAAACCCCAAGAAGAGGAAGAAGTAGCCCTATAAACCCCAAGAAGAGGAAGAAGAAGAAGAAGAAGAAGACTGAGGAGAAGTGCCGCTATAAACCCCAAGAAGAAGAAGAAAGCCAAGAATTAAGAAGATTAAGAAGAAAAGGCCATTAAAACAGAAGAAGAAAACCAAGAAGACCAAAAAGACCAAGAAAAAAAAGACTAGAAAAGGCTAAGAAGACCAAGAAAGCCAAGAAGATCAGAGGATCAAGAAGATCGCTTGCATGTTAGAGTAGTTAAGAAGTGTATTATGATAGAGACTTAAGACGATGTTAAGTGGTGTCATGTGTCACAAGAACGATCAAGGTTATATTAATGGCTTCCTCAGAGAGTTTGGACTGTAAGTTTCTCAGCTTCTTCCACTGACCCTTGTGGGTTTAGTGCTTAGTTATAATAATAATGATCATCTTCCATCATCAGACTTAATTTTTTGATAAAATCTTTATTGCTTTTGCTAATTTATCGGATTTTATGTATTTTTTTCCTCAAGGGAGATTCTTTGATGCCAGTGAGGAGCTCTTGATCCAAGGAATTGGACTTGCCATCCCATTCCTTGGAATGATTCTGAATGCCTCCCATGCACTATATGACCCTTCTGGGTTTAGTGCTTCTTGATAAATACAACAGTAATGTGTATTTTTTTTGTAATATTTCTCACCTGGTGGACTTACGATAGATAATAAACCTTTCGAACTTTAAATAACGTTGTCTTCTGACAGATCGGTGCAGATGCGACTCTACACAATGCACAAAAGAGAATTTGTGATGGTTTTCATTGTGTTCTTCGTTACGCTTGGCCTCGCACTCTTTATTGGGTTGGCAGGTAAGATAACTCTTTCTCTTCAATTATTTGGTAAATTACTGTTATCATGTACAAAACAGGACTCAAGTCTGGCTAACCGCTATCCCTGAATTTCTTCTTAAGTATCACCATGTTTGCACTCCAACAGCTCGTCAGGTCATAAAAACCACTTGCTTCCACTCACTCCTGTCGAACATGCTCACACACTTCTGATGGATATCCAAGCCCCTAAAATGTATTAATAATAACAACAATGACACATCAGCCAGGTAGTGATGGGTTTATAGGTTAAGTTACATTAATAAACCTGTAAAAGACAAAGAAGCAAATTAAAAATAAATGACTGTGACAAATCTTGCTGTTGTTGTTGTTGGGTTTATCAGGGCCACTGACAGCATACGCCGTAACGAGCCCAGTTTCTCGATGGTACGAGGGAGATTTGTTGCCCAAGGCTGGGCGATGAAAGAAAATGGAACAAAAGTTCCTTTGTAAATAGAGATAGAAACTTGAAGTTTACAATTAGATCTGGTGGACCACCTTACCAAGCCCCAGCAGAGAGGGACGCCCACACTCCCACCTGAGTTCAGTAACTGGCTTCCCACCAAAGACCATTAAAGAATTTTCCGCACAGTGGAAAAAAAATGGAGCTGGCTGAGTAAGCCGATGTACAGGTACCCCTCCTGTAGAGTGCCCGGCGGGCAAAATAGATGAGGACAAGCGTCCCAGACAGAACAGTGGAAATTTGTCACTGATACACAGGCAAGAGCAAGACGTCCACACCCGACGAAGGCTGACGCAGAAGTCCTGCGACAAATCTGGCAACGTGAGTCAATATCTGCTTATATTTGGGCTTGAATTATCTTAGCTTTTATTTTAATTAAAGTGTACTTGTATTTAATACTAACTTCCTATGTATAACTTGATGTAAATGTCTATTAATCATGGTGTTACTCAGTACAGGAGGGCCCCACTTATACAGCAGGTTCGATTTTCAGCTGCTGCTGTAAAGCAAAAATCGCTGCACTTTTGAATGCTTATAAAAAACAGAAAACATGTTTACACTGTCATATCTTAAGTGAGCAATAGAGCTAGGCCTAAATAAATGCCTTTACAATACATACTTTACTTACCTTAAAATATTTTCTTCCTTAGCTTATAGTGAGTGGTTAGTATATTTACTGTAGGAAGTCTGAATAAATGAAGAATGGGTATAAGTGAAAACCACTGTATTAACAAAATGCCATAGCGCGAAGCACTATAAAGCAGGACCCTCCTATACAGTGGACCCCCGCTTTACGATCACCTCCCAGTGCGACCAATTATGTAAGTATATTTATGTAAGTGCGTTTGTACGTGTATGTTTGAGGGTCTGATATGGACTAATCTAATTCACAATATTCCTTATGGGAATAAATTCGTTCAGTAATGGCACCTGAACATACTTCTGGAATGAAATAATATCATAAACCGGGGGTCCACTGTATATTGCAAATTACAATAAGAGCATCAATGGAAATAAGTCAATTTGTGTGATTTTTTTTTTGGGGGTTATCCTGGAGGGTAATTTACACTCCTATCAAATACGCTCATGCAACATAGGAGTGAATGGAGACAAATGGTTTTTAGGACTTGACGTGCTGTTGGAGTGTGAGCAAGGTAACATTTATGAAGGGATTCAGGGAAACCGGCAGGCCAGACTTGAGTCCTGGAGATGGGAAGTACAGTGTCTGCACTCTGAAGGAGGGGTGTTAATGTTGCAGTTTAAAAACTGCAGTGTAAAGCACCCTTCTGGCAAGACAGTGATGGAGTGAATGATGATGAAAGTTTTTCTTTTTCGGGCCACCCTGCCTTGGTGGGAAACGGCCGATGTGTTAATAATAAAAAAAATGATAATTGTATTTATGTTTACCTGTGCCTAAATAAACTTACTTATGTACATGTGTTGCCCCTGCTCACTAAGCAGTAAGTAGGTACGTGGGTGTTAATCAACTGCTGTGGGTTGCATTACGGGGAAATAAGCCAGACAGAATGGCTTCTTTCTTGGAATATCCTGGTTAGTAAGTTTTCGTTTAGGCTTTGGGTACATATAGAAAAATAATCACCTTGTGGGTACAGTTGTTATGGCCATATAAAATATACGTTACATAGATTTAACCTAAGATAACCTAATAGTTAAATACTGTAACTTATTTCCATTTGCATCACTGTTAAGTTATATTGTTAGACATATCTACATTTCATCAATTATACTCTGACCTTAATAATGGAAAGTAAAATATAAAGAATAATCCAGATCATTGTTACATTAATCCTTAAACTGTCCAAACGTAGATCTACGTTCATACGCGTAGCTCTCTGAACGTAGTTCTATGATCGATTTTACATTCTTTCTTATGTAAAAAAACGTAGATCTAAATTTGGGGCGCTACATGTATGAACGTAGATCTACATTTGGACAGTTTAATGGTTAACAATATGTTAACAATAAAAGGAAACTTTCTTTCTCACTTCATTTATTAAATATTCTGTAATTTTATAGTCTTAAAATTGATATATAATGAGACTGCCAGTGATGTGATCACAGCCATTATGGCTGTATAATTTTGCCTCTGGCAGAACAGTGATGGAGTGAGTGATTATGAAAGTATTTCTGTTTTGGGTACTATAAATTTGTATTCATTTCCTCCAGTATGATACTGACTTTGGTTCCTAATCTTTACAACATTTGATACATGGTATTCTGGACATTGTTCAACAACAATTTTGTATGCTAAAAGGTTTAGTTTCGGTTGCCTTAATCTGTCTCCCACTTTTAGTATTTTAAATTCTTGTAGATCATCCTAACCTAGTACATGTTCACTTGGTGTCAGGTCAAGGAGGGTTAATAACCTTCCTGGTTGTTTGGTGTCAGGTCAAGGAGGGTTAATAACCTTCCTGGTTGCTTGGTGTCAGGTCAAGGAGGGTTAATAACCTTCCTTGTTGCTTGGTGTCAGGTCAAGGAGGGTTAATAACCTTCCTGGTTGCTTGGTGTCAGGTCAAGGAGGGTTAATAACCTTCCTTGTTGCTTGGTGTTAGGTCAAGGAGGGTTAATAACCTTCCTTGTTGCTTGGTGTCAGGTCAAGGAGGGTTAATAACTTTCCTGGTTGCTTGGTGTCAGGTCAAGGAGGGTTAATAACCTTCCTTGTTGCTTGGTGTCAGGTCAAGGAGGGTTAATAACCTTCCTGGTTGCTTGGTGTCAGGTCAAGGAGGGTTAATAACCTTCCTTGTTGCTTGGTGTCAGGTCAAGGAGAGTTAATAACCTTCCTGGTTGCTTGGTGTCAGGTCAAGGAGGGTTAATAACCTTCCTGGTTGCTTGGTGTCAGGTCAAGGAGAGTTAATAACCTTCCTTGTTGCTTGGTGTCAGGTCAAGGAGAGTTAATAACCTTCCTGGTTGCTTGGTGTCAGGTCAAGGAGGGTTAATAACCTTCCTGGTTGCTTGGTGTCAGGTCAAGGAGAGTTAATAACCTTCCTTGTTGCTTGGTGTCAGGTCAAGGAGGGTTAATAACCTTCCTTGTTGCTTGGCATCAGGTCAAGGAGGGTTAATAACCTTCCTTGTTGCTTGGTGTTAGGTCAAGGAGGGTTAATAACCTTCCTTGTTGCTTGGTGTCAGGTCAAGGAGGGTTAATAACTTTCCTGGTTGCTTGGTGTCAGGTCAAGGAGGGTTAATAACCTTCCTTGTTGCTTGGTGTCAGGTCAACAAGGGTTAATAACCTTCCTGGTTAATACAGATAAAATCTTCATCAGTCAACATCAAATCCAATGTGTTTCTTTGTGTCACTGTTCCCTGGTGAAAAATTATTGTTATAAATGCTAGTTGTTTTAATCTTGTATTGGAAAAACAATAGTAGATGTAAACCTTTTATTTATCAACGTATGTACTATTTTTGTTATTTCTCACTCGGAAATTTTCCCAGGCGTTCTCTGCTTGTAAATTCAGGACCTGTATGTACTGTTCTTTATTATCATTTGGAGAATCTGTTATCTGCTAAAATTTTTTTGTAGGTCCACCAATAACAGCTACAGCCGAAAAACAAGCTTCTCAACTGATGCCCACAATCAACCAATCACAACTCACATCTGGGCCGTTCCTGATGAAGTCTCCGCCTTTGTCTACTTATGCTCAACAGCTCTGGGTTATAGCAAGAATAATTATCAATATAAAAGATGGTAAGAAATTCTTTCACTACATACAGTGGTACCTCAAGTTACAAACTTAATTTGTTCCAGAAGGCTGTTCGAGTGCCAGTACTGAACAAATTTGTTCCCATAAGGAATAATGGGAATTAGCTTAGTCCGTTTCAGACCCCCAAAAATGCACTTACAAAAGCACTTACAAAAATACACTTACATAATTATTCGAGTTGGGAGCTGTTTGAAACTTGAGGTACCACTGTATTTTTATTGATAATTATTCACTTTTTTCCACTTTCCCATGGAGATGAAAGGAAATAAATAAGAACAAGAACTGTTAACCCTTTAACTGTCCAAGCAGATCAATGTTCACATGTGTAGTGCTCCAAAAGTAGATCTATGTTTTTTTCACATATTTTCAAATATAACAAAAAAAGAAAAGAGTAGATCAAAGTTTTTTTACACATTTTCAAATGTAAAAAAAAAAAAAAAAGATCTACTTTGTTTACATACTTTCAAATGTTGAAAAAAGGTGTATATACGTTTGGACCGTTTACGGGTTAAGAAACAAGATGAAAACTCAGAAAGATGTACTCACCTAATTGTAGTTGTTGGGGTCGAGACTCAGCTCCTGGCCCTGCCTCTTCACTGAACGCTACTAGATCCACTCTCTCCCTGCTCCATGAGCTTTATCATACCTCGTCTTAAAGCTATGTATGGTACCTGCATATACATACATATACATGCATGTGTAGTGTGACCTAAGTGTAAGTAGAAATAGCAAGATGTACCTCTTATCTTGCACGTTTATGAGACAGAAAGAAAAGACACCATCAGTCCTACTATTATGAAAAACAATTTTTGATTTCCATTTGGCACTCATTTGACAGGACAGTAGCACCTTCCTGGGTGGTTGCTGTCTACCAGCCTAATACTAGATCTTATCTAGAAAGTAATACAGTGGTACCTCAGGATATGAACAGCTCAAAATGCAAACAATTATGTAAGTGCATTTATGTAAGTGCTTTTTTAAGTGTATTTTTGGGGGTCTGAAACAGATTTATCTAATTTACATTATTCCTTATGGGAACAAATTCATTCAGTATCAGCACTCGAACAGCCTTCTGGAACAAAATAAGTTCACATCCCAAGGTACCACTGTAAATATATTTTGTAGTTTGCTGGGTTGTCATTAAATCACAACATCTATGCCCTCTTGAAAATGCAGCTTGACAGTGAACAATGGGTCACCCTGCCACCTAGGTGTGAACTAGGATTGTGATAAAAATATAATCTGTTATATTATATTACCAATCCTGGTCAGTAGCTGCTGCAGAGAATATAACAAGCTAACATTCCAGGAAACTTAATTTTCTCTTCAACACCATATAAATAATTTAAGTTTTAATCAAGAAATTGTATTTTTAATGGCTTCATTGTGTCACCTTGAAATCATATCAGTTAGCATAGCAGGTCATGAGCACTCCCAGGTGTGCAGTGTGGGAGGCCTTGGAAACCTGTAGTGGAGTACGATGACCTGTTTATTATTCTGTTTTATTATGCCATTAAACTCTGCAACAAGTAGAGTGGAGTAGACTTATTAACCCAGTCTTTGAGATATAATAATACAGTGGACCCCCGTTTAACGATATTTTTTCATTCCAGAAGTATGTTCAGGTGCCAGTACTGACCGAATTTGTTCCCATAAGGAATATTGTGAAGTAGATTAGTCCATTTCAGACCCCCAAACATACACGTACAAACGCACTTACATAAATACACTTACATAATTGGTCGCATTGGGAGGTGATCGTTAAGTGGGGGTCCACTGTACTTCAGTTTATTCTGCTATCATCTTGACTTGTGCAGTACTGTATATAAGACTGGATAGGACACCAGTCTGAAGAGTCAGGAAGCACATTGTCAGTGAGCAGTGAGTGACTGCTACAGTTACAACAAGCATTCAAGAAGTATGTGAGCTGTCAGACAGCAGGAAATGACCAGCAAGGATGCAGTAAACCAGTCAAGAAGCATCATGTCTCATGTGTTGCTTGAGGAGTAATGTATCAGCTAGTTGAAGCATCTCCAGTGTATTCTCATTCTGTCATTAAGGATGTAACTGCTCATGTATGTGTGTTTACTCTAGCTTAATATCCCTTGCAAATATACACATACACACACCAGTACCCCAGGTGTCCAACACTATCATATAATAACAAAAAGAGGCACAATACCATGACTGGAACGATACACAAATAACCCGCACATAAAAGAGAGAAGCTTACGACGAAACCGTTTCGGTCCGACTTGTCAGACCGAAACGTCGCCGTAAGCTTCTGTCTTTTATGTGCGGGTTACTTGTGTAACTATCATATAATAATGTGCTAATACGCTTATTTGTCCTCCTTGTAATTCCCAAATTTATTGTTCATGACCCCCTTAGAGATCATATACAGTATATAAGCTATAAGCAAACAATTAGTTATCGTCTGTTCAGTCTTAAGTTAGCTTTAAGTTCATCTGTGATGCTCTGCATAAAAATGGGTTTTCTGCACGCACACCTGAACGTCACTGAACTCTGTTCGGTGACGTACAGGTGTGCGTGCATGATACAATGCTGAAATAAAATATTATATTATTATTCTAGCATTATTCCGTGGGGAAAATGGAAAAGAATCCTTCCTCCATAAATCATGTGTGTTGTAAGGGGTTAGTAGCTCCTTCTCCTGTATAAATTACTAAATGTAAAAATAAAAACGTTTTTCTTTATAGGTCGCCCTGCCTTGGTGGGAGATGGCCGGTGCGTTAAAAAAGAAATATTTTGCAATGATTTTGTCTTCATATCTCTTGCTCATATTATATAAAAAACTGTATCCATGCATTTTATGACCTAAGTACATATCATTTATTTTATATTTATTTGCGTACATTATTTCTCCATTCTAGAACAATCTTTCCGAAAGGAGTTTCACCTCAGTGTGTCCATTGAGGGCCTCACCAAAGAGCACGAGACTGAAACGGTTCTTCCTGCCGACCATCCCCACAACAGGCAAGTGATAAGGAGACTTATGTTTAATTATTATAAATTTTTGGAAATGATAGGCATAAAAAAGGATAGATGTTTTTCAGCATTAATATACTGAAGTAAAGAAGGAAGTTGTGTAAGATGATAATGACTCTGGAAACATTGTCTATAGTTCCCTCTATGCAGAGTGTAGTGTAGTACAGTACAGTATGTAATGTTAGTACAGTACACTACAGTACAGTATGTAATGTTAGTAAAATACACTACAGTACAGGATGTAATGTTAGTACAGTACACTACAGTACAGTATGTAATGTTAGTACAGTACAGTATGTAATGTTAGTAAAATACACTACAGTACAGTATGTAATGTTGGTATGGTACACTATAGTATAAAAGGAAAAGAAATACTGTGCTGCATAGAGAATTGTAATGAAATATGTATTAGTGATGTAATTGATTGCCATTTATATTGATTGCCATTTATTCCCTGGTGAAAGGCCCTTGAGCCATTCAATAGGGGCTTTGATTCCTCTCCATGGATCATCCTTGATTAATCCCCATTTCCCTAGCACTCTTTGACCTCTACAGGTTTAGTGTCATTCTAGATACTATGTATATTTGCCAACAGTTACAGTGTTGATTTTCTTAGCTTCACTGATGACACTAGTATGTTTATTAATTAACGAACATACAGCCTCTCCTCCCTTAGCGACGTACTTGTTTACCGAAGACTCAGAATTACAATGGGCTCTCTGACCAGTATGCATACCTAAATAATGTATATTAGAGCTGATTTCCTCTATTCTGTTTATTACAATATACAGTACCATAATTGGGCTTGGGCTTGAACTTCCAGCAAGCATGTGTGAGCGTGTTAGATAGGGGTGAATGGAGACGAATGGTTTTTGGGACCTGATGAGCTGTTGGAGTATGAGCAGGATAATATTTTGTGAAGGGATTCAGGGAAACCGGTTAGCTGAACTTGAGTCCTGGAAATGGGGAGTACAATGCCTACACTTTAAAGGAGAGGTTTGGGATATTGGCAGTTTGGAGGGACTTCTGAACTGTCGTATCCGAGCACCTCTGCAAAGACAGCGATTATGTATGAGTGAGGTGAAAGTGTTGAATGATGATGAAAGTATTTTCTTTTTGGGGATTTTCGTTGTTTTTGGGTCACCCTGGCTCAGTGGGAGACAACCGACATGTTAAAAAAAAAAAAGTACCATACTGTATAAACATTTAATAATATACCAGAAATATTATAAATTTTGCAAAGGTGACATTAAAACACTATCAGAGATGGATGACACAAACCCACTTCTGTTATAGTATGCTCCTCACTTAGTGACGAATTCGTTTACCGATGTGGTCTTAGGAATGGAACTCCATCGTTAAGTGAGGAGAGGCTGTGTATCAAACTGTTTGCTACCTAAATGCAGTATGTAAATTCATTACATGTTTGTAGATGGATGGTTCAGAGAACCGACATGTTGATAAATTAGACACATGTGCAACTCTTGGGTATCTTTATCAATAAAGATACCCAAGAGTTGCACATGTGTCTAATTTATCAACATGTCGGTTCTCTGAACCATCCATCTACAAACCTGTCAGACACTGCAACTTCTTGGGATCTTAATACTTAGGAATTCTTCGCTTGCCTAATTCTTGGGCACGACCTACTTCCACATTAAACAAATGTGACACCACCTATGACTGCTACACCTCTCCTGCCATACGGTTTATAAGCTGCTTCTCCGCTCATATGCTGTATTCTACTCAAGATTGATGGACTGAACACATCGACTCAAGGTTGAGGGACTGATTACCTCATTCTCCTCCTGTTCTTCAAGATTCTCCTTTGTATGGACTGATGAAGCCACTGTGTGGCGAAACGTTTCCTCAATAAAGATACCCAAGAGTTGCACATGTGTCTAATTTATCATTACATGTTTTGCACAGGAGTCGTACCCTGGAGTGTGACCAGCGGGAATGTGGGGAGGTGACGGTGATGCACTTGAGCTACTTACGTTATACTCACTACATCATCACTATTAACTTTTATGGACTTGGCGAGAATCAACAGTGGTATAGTGTCAAGGATGTCATCTTTTATGTGAGTGATCTTGGGTTCAAATTTATTGGTGGATTTTATTCAGAATATTATGATCTGTAAGTGTATACAGTGGACCCTCGGTTATTGACCATAATCTGTTCCAGAAGGTTGGCCTAAATCCGAAAAGGCTGAAAATCGAAATAATATTTCCCATAAGAATTAATGTAAATACAGTTAATCTGTTCCAGACGCCCAAAAATATTAACAAAAAATACATTTTTTAAAGAACATAAGAATGGAGGAATGCTGTAGATGGCCTACTGGCCCATACAAGGCAGGTCCTTATCAAAACCACCCCTACCCAAAATTACCCAAGAATTTGCTCCCGTATCCACGACTTAATGAAAATTTGCCGTGTGACCCAACACAATTTACTCTTGACGACATTATTTTTCTTGAACACTCTGGGATTTTCAGAGTGATACACCAGTAAAGGCTTCACTTTGATATCCCCACTAGCATTACCACAAAACAAAAGAGTCAGCCTGTCTTTCATAGGCTTGTGTCCTGGCTGTGCCTTTTCCTCCTGCATGATGTAGGTCCTCTTTGGCATTTTCTTCCAAAAGAGGCCTGTTTCATCACAATTGAACACTTGTTGGGGGAGGAATTCTTCAGCCTCTTCGTACCCCTTGAATTCACCAACAAATGCTTCGGCTGCACATTTGTTAGAACTTGCAGCCTCACCATGCCTTACCACACTGTGTATGCCACTATGCTTTTTAAATTTATCAAACCAGCCTTTGCTGGCCCTAAATTCACTAACAGCAACACTTGTTCCAGGCATTTTCTTGACAAGATCCTCATGCAACTGCCTTGCCTTTTCACAAATGATCATCTCCACAATGCTATCTCCTGTTAATTGTTTTTCGTTGATCCACACCAACAATAACTTCTCCACATCTTCGATTATTGTTGACCTTTGTTTCATTACAACATTTACCCCTTTTGCAACATTAGCTTCCTTGATTTCTACTTTCTTTGCCAGGATGGAAGTGATTGTTGATTTGGATTTCCCGTACATCCTGACAAGCTCAAGCACTCGAACACCACTCTCGTACTTTGCTACAATTTCTTTCTTAAATTCCATTGTGTTTCTCACTTTCTTTACCAAAGGAACTTTACTAGGAACTTTTTTGGGCCCATGGTGGCTTATTTTGCAGTTGCACTTGATCAATAACCACAAAAAATGATGGACTATAGTGAAATGTTTGGATGACTGTGCAGAGCCTTCCTCACTCACCCAGAGACAGCCAGACTGACTCACAAATGTGGCAGAGCGGCGGGTGGACTTCTCCAATATGGCTGATCTTTGAAATGACGGCCGAAAACCGGGATAAAATTTCGGCCAAAAGAACGGCCAAAATCCGAATTGGCCGATATCCGGAACAGCCAATAACAGAGGGTCAACTGTAGTAGCAGTACACAATTGAACAAAACTGATAATCAAAAAGTTGACAAATCATGGAACACGTGGGGTTTGAATCCATGGGGAAGTGAGTCCTATGCTAACTTCTCTATGGTGTAAAGAAATATATCTAGTTGGATGAATCTTATTGTAGCCAGCTGGTCCAGTGGTTAATGCACTGGCCTGGAGTTTTAGGACTCAATAGCCATGGGTTCTAACCCCACCCATTTCCTGGTTTGTTTACAATTGTTACATGTATTATGATATTGTGAGTCCTTTTATAGTTAGCTGTAATAGCTCATGAGAAGTGCATTGTAGCTAGACAACCTTAGGAGGCTTACAAAAATCTAGCTTTCCATACAGATGAGTTGTTTGTGGATACAGTACAGTGCCAGAAGACCTGTATTTACTCATTTGTAACTACTGTGCCCATTTATAATTACCTACTTATTTAAGTCTGAAAGGGAGACAAGGCTTGGCTTCTTGTTGTGTGTTGTAATTTTTGAGTTACTGACTGATGTGACCCATGACAGCTTTATAATACACATTTTTGTATACAGTGGAACCTCAAATATCGAACTTTCTTTGGTCCAGAAGGCCTTTACCGAATTAATTTATTCCCATCAGGAATAATGTAAATTAGATTAGTCCATTTCAGACCCTCAAAAATGCACTTATAAAAGCACTTACAAAAATACACTTACATAATTGGTTGTGTTGGGAGCAGTTCGATTTTTGAGGTTCCACTGTACTTGGATTTATTTATTTTTTTCTGGTTCTAAATCACCTTGGCCTTGCTTTGGCACCTGTTGTGACCCATAAAATCGCATGAGAAGCAGCCAGTATTTGTATGACCTCTAGCTTATAAACACTGTGGCATAGCAGCTGTACAACCTTCATTATGTTCTTTTAAATTATACCTTTCATACCACAGTTGTAATTTCTACATTCTTCATTCTCTGTTCTACATATCACTTACTGATCTTCAGTGACTACTATTAAATTTCTATCTCCTTCCTGCTGCTGTATTTTAAAATCAGTTGATCTATAACTCATACAGGCTTGGCATTTCCCCATGTTTTTTTTTTTTTTAACACACTGGCCATCTCCCACTGAGGTAGATGACCCAAAAGAGAAACACTTTCACCATCATTCACACTATCACTGTCTTGCTAGATGCACGTGGATCCAGTTCAGATGTCCCTCCAAACAGTAAATATCCCCGCCCCTCCTTTAGAGTGTAGGCACTGTACTTCCCACCTCCAGGACTCAATTCCAGCTAACTGCTTTCCCAGAATCCCTTCACAAAATGTTACATTGGTCACACAGAAGTACAGTACTGGAACTACTGTTCTCTTGATATAGACAACTAGGTGAGTACAAATAGGAAGAGCATCTGTCTTGAGTTCAACAGATGGAGGATCAAGTCTCCACCACTTCTGGCACTGAATGACCCACGTAGGGTTTAGCACTTAACGTGAATTAGAAAAAACTATACTCTTGATACATTACCTTTGTTGGCATCCATTGACAAACTTCTTCCTTTCCACAGGTACTGGTCAAAGACTCTTTAACCAAGGAATTGGAGTTATTCTCCCCTTCCTTGGATCAAATGTAATTAACTTTTATTTCCCAGGTGGTGTATGATGTGTTTGAGTTAGTGCTTCTCCATATTTTTTTTTTTCAACGCACCAGCCGTATTCCACCAAGGTAGGGTGGCCCAAAAAGAAAAACGAAAGTTTCTCTTTTTAAATTTAGTAATTTATACAAGAGAAGGGGTTACTAGCCCCTTGCTCCCGGCATTTTAGTCGCCTCTTACAACACACATGGCTTAAGGAGGAAGAATTCTGTTCCACTTCCTCATGGAGATAAGAGGAAATAAACAGGAACAAGAACTAGAAAGAAAATAGCAGAAAACCCAGAAGGGTGTGTATATATATGCTTGTACATGTATGTGTAGTGTGACCTAAGTGTAAGTAGAAGTAGCAAGATGTACTTGAAATCTTACATGTTTATGAAACAGACAAAAGAAACCAGCAATCCTACCATCATGTAAAACAATTACAGGCTTTCATTTTGCACTCACTTGGCAGGGCAGTACATGTAGTACCTCCCTGGGTGGTTGTTATCTGCCAACCTACTACCTAGTTCTCCATAAATATAATGATAATTCACAGAATGGGTGAGGTTTGAACCAATGGCGAGTGAGTCATAAAACTCCAGGGTCAAACCCCGCCTGTTCTGTGGTTTGTTTATAATTGTGTTATTATTTCACGAGTCATGATGTTAATACGTATTGCCTCTTTGTCCACAGTTTAAGACTTACAACCCAGCATTCACCAAGCTGGAGGTCTGGTTTCGGTTTACCTTCCTGCTTCTCACATTTGCTGTGGCAGTAAGTAACTTTAGTCTACTTTACTTATAATAATAATAATAATAATAATAATAATAATAATAATAATAATAATAATAATAATAGTAATAATAATAATAATAATAATAATAATAATAATAATAATAATTAATAATTAATAATCATAATAATCTTTATTTCTGCAAGTACATTATACAACTTATACAGATCATAGCTGACATCAGTGACATACTATATAGAAAGCCCCTGGTTATGCAGAGCATTTTGGGTAACTTAGGTTAATTTTGTCCCTAGGATGCAACATACACCAGTCAGCTAACACCCAGGTACCTACTTACTGCTAGGTGAATAGTGGCAGCAGGTGTAAGGAAACATGCCCCAATGTTTCCACCTGTAATGGGAATTGAACCATGGACCCTCAGTGTGTGAGCTGAGTGTGCTACCAACCTGGCTATGTTAGGTTATACTCAATACTGTGAGGAGAGTGTCAGCATTTTCAGAGTGTAGGAAGGAGGGTCATTTCTCATTATGCTTGTATATAACAAAAAAAAAAAAATCAAAATTTCTTTTTAGAAGTTATTGACAGGAGACAGCATTGAGGTAAAAGAATAATGTCATTCACTGCAATTATTTTTGCTGTTCTTTAGTCCTCCTGTTTCCTTTAAGAGGACAGGGTTGATGTCTGTGAATATATCTTGGTTAAAAGACCACACCTAGGTTGATTGGTAGTGCACTCAGCTCATACACTGAGGTCCGGGGGCCGATCCCCAGTACAGTGGAAGCATTAGGACGTGTTTCATAAGAACATAAGAGAGGAGGAACACTACAGCAGACCTGTTGGCCCATACTAGGCAGGTCCTTCACAATCCATCCCACTATTAGAACATTTGCCCAACCCAACTTTCAGCGCTACCCAAGAAACAAGCCCTGATAACTCCATTCACTCACATGCAGGTCCCACTCAAATCCAACCCCTCTACCTCATGTATTTATCCAACCTAAGTTTGAAACTACCCAAGGTTCTAGCTTCAATAACCCTACTAGGCAGACTGTTCCACTCATCAACTACCCTATTTCCAAACCAATACTTTTCTATATCCTTTCTAAATCTAAACTTATCTAATTTGAGTCCATTATTGCGGGTTCTTTCTTGAAGAGATACCCTTAAGACCTTATTTATGTCCCCTTTGTTAATACCCATCTTCCACTTGTACACTTTGATCATGTCTCTCCTCATTCTCCGTCTTACAAGTGAATGTAATTTAAGAGACTTCAATCTTTCTTCATACAGAAGATTTCTAATGCTATTAATTAATTTTGTCATTCTTCATTGAATGTTTTCTAACAAATTTATATTCTTCTTTCAACGTACCAGCCGTATCCCACCAAGGCAGGGTGGCCCAAAAAGAAAAACTAAAGTTTTTCTTTTTAAATTTAGTAATCTGTACAGGAGAAGGGGTTACTAGCCCCTTGCTCCCGGCATTTTAGTCGCCTCTTACAACACGCATGGCTTACGGAGGAAGAATTCTGTTCCACTTCCCTATGGAGAACAAATTTATATCCATTCTGTAATATGGAGATCAGAACTGAGCTGCATAATCCAGGTGAGGCCTTACTAAGATGTATTCTGTCCATGTTCATGTTATACTCTAGTTCTTGTTAACAACTTATATTAGACCTTAGTGCAGTTACAAATGAGAGTCTTGTGCCATTTTAAACTAGTATTTTTTATATTATTAGATTAAACCTAGTTGTACTTTAGCTCATTCTAGCTCAGTACATAGACAACAAATTCATTAATTACGAGTGAGAGTCTGGTGCTATTTTTAATTTGTATTTTTATAGTATTAGTTTATACCTAGTTGTACTTTAGCTCATTCTAGCACAACACATAGACAGCATCAACTTCATTATGTTTATTAGTGACTATACTCTATATGACCAAAGTGCTTTAGCTATATACTTGTCCAAACTTCCCACTACTACAGATATCAGTACTAGAACTCAACACACAGTTCAGAATATAAATAACCACAATTTAAACCTAGAAGATGAATGATCACGTCGACCCTGATTTAAACCTCCATAATCTAACACCCAATCAAAAAGTATTGGAAAGTAACTGCCTTTAATACACAGCATCACAAGCCAGCGCTATCCTAAACAGTACTAAAAGTCTATCAGTTCTTAACTACAACATCAGGTCCTTAAGCAAACACTATGATGACCTCCTGGCACTCTTTGAGTTGCTAAAGGCACCCTTCTGCATTATTCTTATTGAGACCTGGCTTAACCCTTTCAGGGTCCAAGGCCAAAATCTGAAGTGGTGCCCCAGTGTCCAAGAATTTTCAAAAAAAAATTTTTTTATTTTTTTCTTATGAAATGGTAGAGAATCTTTTTGTGAATGTAATAAAACAAAAAGTACGAAATTTGATGGGAAATTGACGAAATTATGCTCTCGTGAATTTTGATGTGTCAGCGATATTTACAAATCGGTGATTTTGCCGACTTTGACTCCCATTTTAGGCCAATTACATTATTCCAGTCGACCAAATTCTTAGCTATTTCACTAGGATTACTTCTATTCTATCGATTGAGCACAAGAAATCGCCAAGTCAACTGTTTCAACTACAAAATAAAGTGACCGGAAATTGGTAATTTGGCCAATTTAACACAAAGTTCAAAATATTCCAATTTCAAAATAGGATCCAGAATAAACAATGTAGGTATTCCTGGCACTAAACTAACATTTCTTCTGTTCATTAGTTATGTTTTGAGGCTTTACAAATAAATTCCATTTTGATTTTTTATTCACATAATGAATTTTTATTCACACCAAAAAATAGAAGATTTACTGTTATGCAATATTGTAATAATTGTATAAATATCATCACCACATTTATGAATGTATATTAGACCCACCAGCTGGCGTGTATTAGACGTGTGAGGTCGTTTGTTTACTCTTGAACATCGGCAAAAATTTAACATTTCCGCCACTTTGAGCTCAGTTTCAAGTCATTTCCAGTGTTAAAACCAATCAAAATTATCTCTATTTCTGTAATATGTCTTCCATTCTGTCAAATGAGACCAAGAAATCACAAATACAACTATGTATAAAAAACATACGAAAAAACACTGCAAAGTCGCTGTTTTAATCGAAAATCACGGTCTCAGTTTTTTTCCTCTCATTATACACAGTGTGCTGCAGGATTTGTTTTATGTGGTGCACACATACCACATAGATGTATTCTCTCATATCTAGGCCCAAATTTACCACTCACAGTTTATCAGAGTGAGCTGAGCTCATGACGTAGATCTACGGTTTGGACACTGAACGTAAAGCCGTAGATCTACGGGACGGACCCTGAAAGGGTTAAGCAGGACACAATAGATATCTACCCACTACCAGGATACACAGCAATCCACAACTGCAGACCATACCAAGTTGGGGGTGGTATTGCAATCTATTACACTAACCAACTATCTTGTATTAGCACCACTTGCTTTAATGATGAATATGGGGAATACATTTTTGCTAATTTTACTGTAAAAAAAACCTTAAGACACCTATAACAATCGGTGCCATTTACCGGATACCTCACACAAACATCCCAAATTCCAGTGAGAAATTAAAGGCACTAATAACAAACAGACAAATGAACATGCACCACCTTCTCTTAGCTGGAGACTTCAACATCAACCTTGGCCTACTAGATGATCAGCCTGTAACTGATTTCAACAACAATATGAGTAACACACTTTTCATACCAACAATGACTAAACCAACCAGGCTCACTGAGACAAGTGCAACCATAATAGACCACATATGGACCAATATACTAGCCCCCCTTAAATCAGGGATAATCACAGACAGCACTACAGACCACTACCCTAACTTCCTCTTGACAAACATTAGTAAACCACCACTTGAATACAACAAAGTTTCATTTAGACTCCATGACAAGGCCTCAGTAAGGAATTTCACAGCAGACCTAGAGACTGTTGACTGGCCTACAGAATTCTCCAAGGCCAATGGTATTGACGATTGGACAGACATTTCTCTTAACAAATTACTTAGACTATACAACAAACATTGTCCTATAAAAATGAAACAGATCATGAATAAACGGCTTGGTTGCCCATGGCTAACCAGCAGCATTCTGAAATCCATTGATAAGAAACACCAATATGAAAAGCAATATAGACAGGGCTTAATACACAAAGATATTCTTAAACACTATTCATCAGTTCTCACCAAATTAATAAGTAAGTAAGTAAGTAAGTAAGTAAGTTTATTCAGGTATACACAAATACAGTTACATAGAATTATCATACATAGCAGCATATGTGTAGAGAACCTAGGATAACCCAAAAAAGTCAGACAGAGTGACTTATTTCCATTGGGGTCCAAACAACTGTACTACTCCAGTAGATTCACAGACACAAGAGGAGATATTAAAAAGACCTGGAAAACACTCTCCCAGATTCTGGGCACCCACAAACTGAAAAAAAACAAGAATATTGTCCTAACTAAACCTAATGAAACACCACTGCATCCCACTGACACAGCTGACAAGATAAACGACTTCTTCTCAAACATAGGATCTAATCTCACCAGTAAAATCCCACGTACCAACGCCCATACTGGGGACTACCTAGATGGGAATTTCCCAAATTCCTTCTATCTTGTACCAACTGAGCTACAGGACCTTAAATTCCAATATTAACCTTGACCTAAAATGCTTTCTTGATAGTTGTGACAGGACCCACAGGCATAACACCAGACACAAACATCTCTATGACATTCCCCGTGTCCGACTAAACCTTTACAAAAATTCAATGTATGTCAAAGGCCCTAAAATCTGGAACACCATACCTGAAAACTAGGTATACCTTGTACATGTACTTATAAAAATAAAGATTAAAATTATTATTATTATTATTATTATTATTATTATTCTTGCAACAAACCAGAGGTATCCCACTGAAACAGGGTGACCCAAAAGGAAAAACAAAAGTTT